GGGGAGGAGAGAGAGAGAGAACGATCATCGCGTTCGCACCGCAATTTAATTCGGTCGTCGTGGCGATAAGCCCAACCTCGTGAACCAAAGACACGGTGTTGTAGTTCGTCGGTACCTTTCGTTCGCTAGCCGGCTTGCTAAAGGCTTCCATCGCGATATGTAAGGTCGCTTCTCACGCGATAATCGATCGCGTCTCTCGTATAACTCTGCGCTCGATGCTGGCACGGGGAGGGAGACAGACTATGGTGAGACGAGACAGACACAGAGAAAGATAGATGAGGAGGGCGGGCGGGCGGGAGGGAGGGAGGGAGGGAGGGAGGGAGAGAGAGAGAGAGAGAGAGAAGCCGAAGAGGTGAAGAGTTAGAGCTAAAAGGGAAGCGAGATTAGAGTTTAATTCGGTATTAACTCGACGCGTACGAGACAGACACTGTGCACGCATAGGGAAGAAAGAGAGGAGCAGCAACGACTTCGTTCAAGCGCAACGCGATAGAAACTGCTCGTCCGAAAGTTCATGGAGAGATTAAACCAGCTAGCCACGTCAACATTATCGAAGCGCGTATATGAGGGAGTAACGAAACGGTTTGTAGGAAAATGGACAGTCGTGGAAAACGATGGAAATCCGAGTAAATCTACGGTTAAGCCAACTGACGGAATAACGGGATAAGTCAGTAAAATGGAATAAATTGAGAGATAATTCGTATCGCGAACCATCGTTATTTTTAATTTGTTATATAATTGTAACTCGAATACGATTATTATTGCTGTTATTCAAAAGAATTAGCTTTTACCGCTTAATCATGTCATGTCAGTACTTTTTTAATAATTTCCTCTTACAGAATTATAATAGGGTAATGCAATAAAGCTCATTTTTAGCTGTAGCATTTGCATTTTTACTTACCGTGATAAGAAAGATATCATTTATTAGCTATTATTAAAAGTCGAGTACGTAGTATCGTATTTATCTATGACAAATGAAGCAGGACCGCTTGGAAATCGATAAATTAAAATTAATTGATTGTTCGCGTGACCAACAAAATTTTAAAACAAATACTAAATATACCTGATATATGTTATTCGGCAAATTAATAAACGTTTCTAAATGTTTGCCGAGCCACAAAGCGATGAAATCGATGGCAGCGATTTACATTTGCGCGCACATCATTGTTGGAAACAATCCATATTACTATAAATCCAATTACCCGATATGAATACCATAAATTCAATATCCTCCCGCCGCAATCTCGATACCATCGAAGTAATAATTAATATACAAACCGCAAGTAGAGCTATCAACTTTCGGACTTTACAGGCCCGCGTCTGCGAGTTTACGAGCGTGTCCTTTCGCTCATCGTCGCTTCCACTCGCGAAAACCCAGAAGTTCCACGAGCTTCAATTTTCTCCCCGAGGACTCCCCGAATAAAAACGCCCCGAATAAAAAAGGAGATTGAGAAGACAAACGAGAAGGATACGACGATGGCCGGATGCTTGTCAGGTGCCGGTCCTCCAGTCATTCAACCAACGCCCTAAACGTAATCCCTTTGTCCGTTCACAACGAGGACGATGAAACGTGTCGAGGATGCGTTATCGAGATCCGTCCGATATGCTCATGATCGAATGGAGCGGAAGATATTAAGGAAGATATTAAAAAATAAAATAAATAAATACTTAAATTAAAATTCAACCAACACGCGATGCGCGATCTATTTCCTCGTATTATATTCAAATTTTATTTTAATAGTTTTTATTTTACATTGAAGAAAATATAAAATATAAAATAAATTAGATATTCATATTACAAAAATTTCTTTCGTAGTGAGTCTTCAGTTTCAACACTTATTAACAGCTGTGTGTTTTCAATGATATATTATAAAAATTATATTGTTTTCATATTAATATTCCCCGTGCGAGTGGTCTCATAAGTATTCTTGGCGCGAGTTCCATCGATTTAATTAGATTGACATTATATATTGACTGAGAAACGGGCTATTCGCCAAATCCTAATTTAAGTATTTCTAGAAAGCCGCGGACTTAGATCAACCGATCCAATTGAAACTCGCCTTTTTCTTCTCGATAATTCCAAGTTGATTATTAAATTCGAATTCGGACAATCGCTTGAAAATTCGCGCCGTGGCTACTGCCAACAATTATCGACCAAACTGACAATGAGACGATGCTATTCGATTGGTTTCTCGGCTATTCCGTCGTGGCGAGCAAGAGTCCTGCGACGGCTGCGGATTTGCGGGGTGCAACCGGTGTCAATACGCGAATTTTCACTGCGAAAGCCCGACATTAAAAAGAAAGACCACATGAATGTGACCTTAAACCCTCTCGTACAATGAAAGACTAACAATAATTTACATATGCTCTTTAACGAAACTGTTAAAATTTTCATCTAGCACAGTAATATTCTATAATTTAATCTGAAACATCCACAATTTTTAATGTCTAATTTAATTATTTATCGATTAATAAGAAAAACTTTTCAGTGCAGAGATATATTTTTTGTTTAAAAATTATTAGCAAAAGTGTTAAAAATGTTAAGTTAAGTTTCCTTAAAACATGATTTAATATGAGAATTAAACACACAAGAGCATAATAAAACAGAGTTAACAGAATTTTGAGAATTTCTTTTTATTACGTATTATAAAATAGATGAGCTTCAAAGATCTATTAGGAATTTTTTATATTCATTATTTTTTAAAGGAAAAAAACAATAATGTCTTCGATAGATGTACTAAGAAATGTTAGCAACTGTGGATTTTATAACCGCGATACGCTTCAGTCAGTCAGATAATTGAATAGCAATAAAAGTTTATTACCGCGTGTTCAAGTTAACCTTCGCTGACGTTACGATGCCACAAAATGTTATCGTGTCGTCCGATTAGATTCTTTCGGGAGCCACGAATTCAGACGAGAATGCTTTAAATTAAAGCTTGCTTGTGAGACTCGAGATGATGTGCGGTAGTTGAAAAAGTCTTCGGTCAAATGTACGCGTCGCGAAGAGTTCGCGAGAGCTTCTTTTCCGCGACTAGAAAAAGAAAATGCGGGGGAAGGAAAATCGTCGCGTGAGCGAAGAAAAGGTGCTTTTTATACGACGGTGCATCGCGGGGGAAACTTTGGCGAATGCTGGCGGCGATCGCGAGCGGGGGGTAAAGCCGACTTCGCGAGCATAAGCGCATAAAGCACTCGCGTCTACGACGAAAGAAATTATCTCTTTTCCCTCCCTCCCTCCCTCCCTTCTTCCTTGGCTCTCTTTCTCGAGCTTTTCGCTTTCGTCGCGTGCTG